TCGAGGCTTCCTAGGAAATCAAGAAATGGGCATTTAAAGCCAATCTTGTGTAAATATGCTGTTTATGTTGAAAAATAAGAAAAAATATAAAAAAATATCAGGTGTTGATATTTAAAACAAAAATGGCATATCCTGACCACTCACTTGTTTGTAGAGGTACAGTCGTGCACCACAGCCCGAAATAGGTAGATGGATGACTTTTCTTGATTTATCAAGAAATTGGGTTGGAGCAAGTTAAATCGACGTTTAGTTAATTTTTGCTCTACTAGATGGTGCTCTTCCATCTAAAAAGATCATGTAAGCGGTTAGGATATCAACAACTGACCTTTTTTTCTATTTTTTTTCTTATTTTTTCACACAATTATATATATATTAAAGAATGATGAGGCAAACAGAATCATCATTGAGGCCATGATAATCATGATGGGCATATGTTTGACTTTATGACAAAAGTGGCTGTATGAAACCAAATGGTTTATGTTGAGAGGTTGTGGTCATTACATTTAAAAAAAGAAATGGTTTTCTCAAAAAGAAGGTTTTATGAGAGGCCTTTTTTTATTTAATTAAAAGATTCTCAATATAGCTTCACATATGGAATATTTTCATTTAAAATTATACTGATAAAATGTTATTATAAAGAGGCCTTTTCAAATTTTCCAAATGAGATGGGAAGTTGTAGCGGCCAATTTGCATCATTGTTGTGGTAGAATAAGCAAGAAAGGATCCACCCTCCCAATATGTTCCCATGGCAGCAGTTCCATTTCTTGTAGGTAGATGGCATGCTTGAGAAAGGACAAAACAAAATATGTGTGCAGGATAGATTATTGAAATGTGGGATTCTTCTGTACAATGCCCACACAGAATATACCTCAAGGATCAATGGTAGTTTTTTTTATTTTTACCTTTTTATATTATGAGAAACACAAGGTAATATAAGACCAAATCCAAATAAATAAATAGTGTGACATTTCGGTACTAATTATTTATTTGGATTTGGTCTTATTACCTTGTATTTATAATCTATAATCCAAATTGTACCTTATTGTTAAAATGTGAAAATGATTTTTTTTAGATGCTTTGGAGAAAGAGACTAGGCAATAGAGGAAGTTACGCCTTATTGGATTAGATTTCAGCATGTGATCATACTTCTGTCCATCTACAAATTGTATATTGGATAGAATTATCAGGGTAACAATCCAAATAGTGAACTATCACTTATATGCCTCAATGTCTGTCTGTGGAAGGGGTTGGAATAAACTATCGTTTTAGACAGCTACGACCCGGTATTAAATCCCGCATTGGCCACTTATTTTTCTAAAAAAAATTTGCTTCAATGGTCCCCGAATTCTTGAAGAAGTCCAACCCCACGAGTGGAACTGCTTTCCACATGTTTAGACGTGTAGCGCACTTATGGTAAAAGCAGTCGCTAACTCCTCCTCCTTCAGTGCCTTCCTCTATTGAGGGTGGGCCACATGGTCTCTCAATACTTCTTCTGTCATCCTCTTCATCTCCTCATAGGTGTGTCGCCCAGTCCATTATTCGCTAACTACCCACCATGATTATTATGGCTTATACCCCATGTATTTAGGATAAGTAAAAATGTGGCCTATGATTGCAGTGATGAGGAAGAGGCTTGTTAAAGACAATTTAAAATGTTTAATTAGGTGTATATAATGACAAAGAATAAGGGAAAAGAGATGGTGCCTTTCCAGGCATAACTCATTTACAGTATAACCTCATTAATTCGACACACGCAAATTCGACACTCTACCTTAATTCGACCATATTCTGATGTCCCGACCTCCGGCCTATCAAATAACAAACCGCAATTCGACAGTATCGATAATACGACAGTTCTGATAGTTCGACCATTTAAAAATTCGAATTTCGACAGTTGAATGTTTTTTTACATACAACTTTACCGCTAAAAAGGTATTACGGCGGCGGCGACGGCGGGTGCCGATTGAATCGTGCCTGCGCACTTTTGGTTTCTGTTAGTTTAAATTTCACTTTGCAGTGCCGTTGCGCAATGTCGCGAGTGTTTGTTTTTTTTTACGCGGGAATTTAGGAATCGTGCGCTAATTAATAATATTATTTTCTTTTTAAATTTCAGCATTGAAATATTTAAGTTATTTTAAAATTTACAAATAATTTCCTTTCAAATAAATAAATCGTCATAAAATGTAGCCACAATGATTATGATAACATTTTATTTCAATATTCATTTCCATATTATTATAAAAGATTTAAACACAAAATCAATAACACCTGCAGCAGCAGTGGATGTCTTTAATACAATAGTTATTTAAAACACATTCCAGAGGAAGAAAGACATGCATGTTTTTTTTAAATAGACCATCTGGAATATATACTGAATAGGATTTCAGTGCAAAAACAGACATCTATAAAGGAATTTTTAAAAAGATCTTCATGATTATTTTTAAATTTTCTTTTTATTTTCCATATTTATTTCCTTTCAACTGCTATATTCTTCAATTAGAGTAAACTATTTGTAATTATTTTCTGTTTCAAAAATATGTAGTATTGCCATTTTGTCACTAATACTAAAGTTAATCATGAAAATAAAAAATAATACAAAAAAGGACACACACAATGGTTTTAATTAATATGATCAATTTATATTACAAAGCAATTTTAAAAAATATTATTTTGGCGAGTTAGATGATTATCTAATCATCTAACCTTTATTCAACACTTCCTTTAATTCAACTGAAAGCTCTGATCCCTTGGGGTGTTGAATTAAAGAGGTTCGACTGTATACACCCTCTGTTCCCATGATATAATTTTCATGACTTCCCACATGTATAACTTCGTTAATTTGACACCCTATAATTCAATACTTGTGCTAATTTGATCTATTTTCATGCCCCTATTTCCACCCTATCAAATAGCAAATACTAATTAGACCTTATAATAATTTGACAGTTTTGATTATTCGACTGATTTTTAAAGTGAAATTACAGTCGATACAACTACAATAGAAGCAGACTTGCCCCAGGTGGAAGTTGGAGCATGGATTGGTTGAGATACTCATTTTTGCATCCAAGGTGTAAACCTGCTGCCAATTGTATTATTCTACACTAGGCCTATTCGCCATTAGCAAAAATAATCCAAATTTTTAACCATCAAACTGAATGGATTAATAAGCTCAACAGCAAATTGTCACCCTAGCTGCAGAATGTCTTAAAAATGTCAATATTTTAACACTTCATATAGCATATGTCAAAATAACATTAAATTGTC